TACTGAAGATGAAAAGAAAGAGGTCTTAAGAGCTGACCTAGAACGAAACGTGAGCCTGTGTCTTCACAACAGCTTTTGCAGGAACCGGGAGCAGAAGGTGAATGTGGACTTACTACCTTGTTGCAAACCGAGGCTGTTGGAGCAGGAGGGTTGGGGCACGGCCCGCAACTCTCTGGACATGTTAGAGAAAGTTCTGGAAGACAGTGACGCTGAACATCAGGATGGAGAAATGATGGAATGAAGATGACGGAGGAAGAGAAGAGAAGGAGAAAAAACTTGATTGTCTTTGTGTGTAAAAACTTGAACAAATCAACCAAGTTTTGATTATTGAACTTGTGAAACTTTTTGTTTTGATTTAGTTTGGTCAGACCAAACTTTGAAAATTGTTGCAATTGTTAAAATTGTTGAAATTGTTGATTTTAGTTACTTTTATCTATGTATGTATATAAGGAGCATAGGTGAGTATATTTACCTATTTATTCCCGACTGAAGTTTTTAACCTGTGTAAGACACAAATTCACTGTGTGGCGACATGGTAAGTTTGAGTAAACTCGCTCGAGAAGGGTGGGTAACTCAATAACTTTCCTAGCCACAGAGTTTCTTAGTTTTAATATTGAAAGGACCGCATAAATGACTAATTATACTTGGTGAGTGAAGTTAAGTTAATTTTAACGGGTGCGTGGCCGTGCCACGTCCCACTTTTTAATCAGAAGCGAAAAGAAGTTTTATGGCGAGATGACGTAAGTAGTCAGAAAGGAAATTTTATCTAGGACACTCCTCATGGTGCAACTTTTGTGAAAATGTTGAAAGGCAGTGAGATGTAGTACGATGCCATTTGTGAACACGTAGTGAGTTGAGGTGGAGTAGATAAATTTCATTTTCTTATGCGATTTGTAAGATTGGTTACAGAAAACTGGATACCTACTTGACGATAACCCGGTGTTGTGCGATCAATAGGGACATTGATGGAGACTTGTCCGGGGAGTATGTGCCATTCCGCCGGATGACACAGTATAACCTTCCCGCGACGGAAAAAAAAGTGACTAAAGGCCTTACGAACAGAAAAGTGTTGCGACGGAGGGTCAGAATGTTCTGGAATTTTTATTTTTAAAATTTCGATTTGAAGGAGAACATTTCTGAGAAATAGAAAAAAGACGGCCATTTTGAATAAAATAGAGAAAAATCAGAACGACGCCATATTTTGTGACGAACGGTTGTATCCGAGAAGAGAAAATTACGGAGCCTCTTATCGTGGCAATAACACACGATAAGGACCTTAGTGACAGATATTTGTGGAGACGGAGGCTTCAGTGGGGGGAAGAGAAATACCACGGAACCCTCCCGGGACACGAAATATAGGAGATAAGAGTGTTATCTCAAGAAAATCACGGGAGCGGAGGCTTGGTCCCCCAGAGACTGTTATATGTGAAGGGACTGGGTAAACTAACTATAACAGCTGCTGTAATGTCCTAGATCGTAATTAACACCGTTATTATTTAATATTTCAGAGCATGAGTAGATAGAAAAAGGAAAGGGTCAATCCATCTCCAATGGATTTAATATAAAACTGTCACACAAAAACATAATAAAATAGGTTGTTCGAGCCGTGTTTTTAATGACAATCACGTAGTCTGAGGATCCGAGACTCAGCTATGTGGTTGTGTTCGCATGCAAACGAAAGCTGATCAAAAGTCGTTTGACTGATGGCCTAAAAATGGTAACTTTTTACTTTGCCCTAAACAGACCAGAAAATCAACTGGCAAGGTCGAGACGGTGAAAAACGAGTAGAATTAAGGTAACTGACGCCTGCCAGTCGTTGATAGGTACTTTTTCTACGCTCCGTCGCTGTGTGATATTTGGGCGAATGTTACAATGTTTACTTGCGTTAATTACTTTGTTCCAATCTTCGATTGGCTATGTTTGGATATGCGGGTTGTTTGGTTGCAAGTTTTATTGAAAAGTATTTGAGTACATTTAGGAAGTATGGTATCTCAATGTTTTGACCGAAATGTTTTCTTATCGTTTTCATCTATTTGTTATCAAAAAGAAATGTATGCGTTCAGCCCAAATCCTTCCTTTGTTTGAAGGTAATTGACTTCTGTAACAATTGCAATAAAATTTTTTCTGATTTTTGGGCCTACGATTTCTTCAACAAAATTCATTCATGTTTTTCAATTTTCGTCTAAGACCATTTATCTTTTGATTTTTGGAGCTTAATTGTGTATTGCAAGTGGTGGGCGGATGCTCAGCTTCGTCTATGTTAAATATGCTATTTGTCGTTTTCTCGCTTGTTTTCACGAAGTGCAGCTTCGTCTCTATTTCAAAATGTGTATTGACGTCGATTGTAAACCTACTGCTCTGAATTCTTCGCATTTCGTTTACAATTTTTTCGCTTTAACTGTTTCTTCGGTTTTAAAGGTTTCTTTTTTTCGCTAATTGCTGACAATTGTCTTTTTTGACCCAAATTTTTCCCCTAAAATTCAACCTAATTCGAGGGTACGTATGAAATTTTTGGTTGACTGTTTTCTGTTTTTTTTCTGATTTATTTTTTGACCAAGTTCTTTGTCTAGTTTTTCTGCCGGCTTGCTTGCCATGCTGTTTGTGATGTATCACAATTAGCGGGAAGCATAGTTCAAAAAATTGTACCTAAAAGTTGAACATAACTAATGACCTGGGAAACTATTAAAGAAAAAAGCAGCGTTTTCGTGCCACCAAATGGTTTTTAATTTCTAAATTTTACCAATGTAGCTGGCAAAATTTACAAAGGTTGGGGAAAAAATATCATGCTTTGAATTCATTATCCTATATGTGAATGTCTGGTTATTTCGCTGACTTAAAAGGCTGAGAAGTATGAATATTGACAATGATTTTCTGGATTTTTTAATCTGCAAAAAACTTGCATTTTATTTCGATTTGAGGATGTGAATTTTCGTTGCGATGAATTTTTCGCTTGTTAGTCAAGTTTTTAATAGCAAGTGTGTTGCTCGCTTTGTTTAATATTTAAAACAGCAAGGGTTATACAGCAGTTTCTAGAGCAATTGACTCAATTTGAATTGGTCCTTTCTAGAGGTGGTTTGAATCCTGAGTCGGGTAATATTTCCAATCTTTCAAAGCCGGGGGTTAAAGTAGAGGTGTTCTTGGAACAGTTAAAGAGGTGGAAAGTGATATGTGGGGAAGAACAGTGGGGACAGCTTGGAGATAATTTTGGTCTGTTTTACTTCAGTAAGTTTTTATGACGGGTAGTTAATAGGGTACGGGTTCCCCTGGTGTCGCGGGGAGAGAATTTTCAGAAAGCGAGATATTGAGGGGCCTGAGTATAGGTTTTTTGGGAGGTGCATCCTCAATAGCCTCGACTTTTACATTGTTGGATCCATCCCAGCGCGTAATATAGTTTAAATTTGCTAAGCGCTGAATGTAAATTGCTTTATTCTGATTGGCTGGAAAATCCCAACTTAGAACCCACGTTAACATCCCCCCAAACGACTCTGGGCTGAGGATGTTAACTTGGTCCAAAGAGTTTATTTGTTTCAGTATCGATTTGTAATTTTGAGAGGCAAAGAACTCAGTTCGTTAGAGTTGTTTAAAGTGGTAAAAGAGGCGTTTGCTGTGTCTTGTAGGTTATTATCTATTCCGGGGTTTTATATTACATCTCAAAAACTGTCGGATGGATATTCCGGGAAGGCTTAGGGTGGTGCTGACAAAAAAGCAAAGGGTCTGAGCAGATGAATGTTTTGAGGATGAACTGAGCCGAGAGTAATTTATGATGGTAAGCAATATTTAAAAATCTACATTCTGAATATAAATGTTCTAAAGCACTCATTATTGCGCAACCAATTATAGTGCGGTCAGCGGCGTTTTGATTTTGAAGTTTGCTCAAAGATGTAAAACTGGAGACATTGCATTATGCTAAGTATGCGTTATCTAAAATTGGTCTGACTAAGGACTTGTAGGTTACCAGTAGCGTCTTTTTTTACTTCATCCCAATTTATCCCCGAGAATCGCTAGCCTGGGCCAGGCTCTTGCTGGAGTTCACCTGCAGTTTTCTGCGAAGTTAAAGGAAGGGTCAAAGTGGGCACCGAGTTTTTTGGAATGCTTTTCTGAAGTATTGGCCATTTTCACTAAGAGCCAGCCTTGAGCTTCTTATTTCACCAGGAGAAAAGGATGACTTCTGATAAGAATAAGACAAGAGGTCTGAAGGCAAAACAGTGGTGTAACTTTGTTAAAAAGTTGGTTAAAATAAAGGAAGCGTTTTAAAAATTTCTCGAGGGGTGAAACATGTCTGCGTGCGATTGTTATTTAACTTCGAGGGTTGAGAATGGCGCATCATGGACGTAAAATTTACAAAGAAGGTGGTAGAATAGTGCGTACAATCCTTGACGTTGAAAGAGCATCCTTAAAAAGTGTCTTCGCTTGGTGACCACTCATATAATTATTCAATCTGGGTAGGCTTCCCGGTAACAGATGCAAGAGAGTTTGATGACTGACCATGTCGAAAGCTTTAGATATGTCCAGTATGGCCAAAACTGTCCTAGTGGGTAGCCTTTGTCGAAAATCGACACTGATAAAAAAATACGAGTACTGAGTTAAGTGCATAGTCGAAAGCCATGTTGGTGGTCGGCTTTGATTATGTGTTTCGTTAGGTTTGGGTGATATAACCAATCTAAACTTCAAACAACTTGGCCGGGCGGTAAGGTTCTGACGTTTTGAGATCTTTATTTGGTTGAGGGAGGGGTACGACCTTGAATTTTTTTCCATTACTGAGGTTTGATAATAAGAGATAAAGAGCGGTTTAATTTGTGTGATAAAATTTAATAGCTACCGGGCCAATTTATTTGTCATAATCAGTGCATATGCCGTCTGGTTTTAAGGTTTTTGACGGTTTCAATATTTAAATAGAGTTTCCCACTACAAGCGATAAAAAATTTGAGAGTCAGTTAAGCTGTGTTTTAGAGCTTTTCGTTTTGTTACTCCTTGAGCTTCGTTGCTTTTGTGTTCTTAACATAGTGTATTGTACCTTGAAGGCATTTGAAATAAATTAAGCCCTTAGAATCTTTTTGTTATTAAAAAGATTGGATGGTTCCTACCACAGACCTAAGAGCTATTTAATGATTGGAAAATTTTCCTGGCATTCGTTAATGCGAATTTTTAAATGGGAGAGGCAGCTTCGCTGTGCTGGTTGAAATGAATCCATCGTCAAACTTGCCCCACACGTTTTCTTGGGATTAGAGGGGAGTAAGTTTAAGATCTGAGGGTAGCCTCGTAACCAAAAACTCCGTCCAAGCAGGCTTTTTGCGCCCCCCTGTTTGGTAGGGTAGGGTAAGCGACATTGGCACGACCGTCGGGTCCACAACTGAAAGGTGGACCTCTGGGCCTTTTCCAAGTTGTATTATTTCTCGGCATGCATTTGTTTTTTTTGTCGCGCAACAGGTCGTTTTTGCCGTTTTTTTTGGTTTTGTTCGCGGAATGCAAGTTGGCTTGTTTTTTAGAAATTTTTTCAAAAAAATCTGGAGCTTGTATCAAAAGTCGATGAACGTAATATTAAAGACTGATATAGGTCGCGGTGATTGTTTCCAGCGAAAGACTGTGTTCACGCTCAAATTTAATTTTTCGAGGTTTGATTCGCGGAAGAGAAATTTTATCTTTTGGTCCGGTGTTTTCAAATTGAGTTAATTCTATCAAAAAAGTGTCAATCAGAAACTGTTCCTAGAATTCAAAAGGCTTCAAAACCTTTTTTCCCAAGAAATTTTTTCACGCTCAAGTTTGATTCTTTGCGGTTTGGTTTGACTTATGATTTTCTTTAAGTTCAGTCACGTTTTCTTTGTTACAAGGAAAGCAAACTCCACTATCGAGCGGTGACAGTGTAAACGTCACGAAAAGTGTAATCGAATTGTAGCTTCGACAGTGGAATTCAATTTTCAGATATGCCTGCGGAATAAAAAGTTTGCCTCTTGATCCAGTTTTCTCAAATTGGGTTAGTTTAATCAAAAAATTGTCAATCGTTAAGGCAATAAATTTTTTTCTTCGAATTTTAAAAGTTTTTTTTTCTCTTTCCTTGCGTTTATGACTGTTTTCCAACTGTCTGTTGGGCATGTTCTTTCAATTTTTTTTTAAATGTTTTAAGTAAATTTTGTTTGTAAATGCAAGCACGATTGCTGTTGCAACATCCAGGTGCTATTTGCCTAGTTACAGGGTAATCTTGTTTATGTATTAACTATACAGCTTTAAAGATTCCTGTTACGGTTTAGTTTTTTGTGGCTTAAACTTGTAGTTCGTAACCTAAACACGAGTGGTCGGATAATTTCTTAAGTTTTTTGTGCGTTCGTTCAGTGCCGATGCTAATGTTACTAACCGTATTTCATTGAAGCGTAAAGCGATATTAGGTCGACAATGAGTATAGAATTAATTGCTGTGAGCAGTAGATAGAAAGCGACCGAGGAAGTTCTCCATGCAGTTGATAAGGGGTAGTAGTAGTCGTCCCAATACACCATCCAACACATAATGCCAATGACGAACTCACCTACAAAAACAACAAAGGTTGATACATTTGAAAAGTAATGAATGGAGTTTTATATCTTAATTTTTTACGATTGCGATTAGTAAAGTGGTATCAAACCGGAAAATAGTCTTTTTTGGGGTGAACAAAATCAATTTAATCACTTGATAGCTTGTGTATAATGACTCTTCAAATTTCTAGGCTTCTCGGAAACACGTGTTCTTGAGTTAACGACTACGCCTGGGATTGCCCATTTGTTTTTCGATGTGCTGAAGTCCAAATCTGTCGGTAGCTGTATTTTAGTTTTGTGGTTAAGAGGTTAAGTGGCTAATTTTGTAGAAGAGAAGTTTTTATGAACTTTTCTAATATTATTATTCTATTCACATGTTTTTTCTTGGATTATTTTGACTTCATTTTTTCCGACTGAAATTCTGTCGGCTTAGAATTCGCTTTCATTTCGTTTATAGAGATCCGCTGTTGTCTCTTGATTGAGAGTCATGAACGTTGTGAATACACTTTTATGGGTCTTAGTGATTTTTTGTTGTTTTTTTTTCAGGGAAAGTCTTTAAATTTGTGCAGGCTCAAATAATTTACTTTTTTGTGGTTTGACGTTTGATTTCGTTAAAAGGAATGCAATCTCCACTATCGAACAGCGAAAGTGTAAAGGCCACGAAAAAGATGATCGACTTCTAATTTCGAAAATGGAATTTAATGTTCAGATTCGCCAGCGAAATAAAAATGTTACCTATTGATCTAATTTTCTCAAATTGGGTTATTTTTATCAAAAAAGCACCAATCAGATTCTGTTCTTGAAATTATAAGAGCCTTAAGGCCATAAAACATTTTCAAAAAACACAGTTTTTTGTGTCCTCTTGTTCATGACTCTTTTCCGAAGATCAGTTGCAAATAATAGACTGTATATGTGCAATTAAGATATATTGAAGCAATAGTAACCAATTGTTCCGAGGACAAGGGTGAATATGAAGGGTAGTAGTGTGAGCCTAATGTCTCTTTGTAGGCCCACGAAACAGACCAGAGAAGAGAACATATTTGCCAATGAGCTGACAATGTGAAATAGAATGAAGGAGGAAGTGGCTCTAAGCGTCTCGTCTTTAATGTCTGCTGAATTGAAGACTGAAATTCCCTCGTCGTCTAGCAGTTTCAGCTGTCTAACATGTATGGACATGTTGGGAATGCATGTGAGCCATACCTGAAATATGAAGCATCGAGTTTTGATCCTTAATACTAAATAATGGACGTTATATCTTATACAGCGGTTGGCTTAAGTAACTTGAATAAATGGTGTTAATTGATCAGTATTTCCCAATTAAATGTAATTTCAGAACCTTCTGTTGTTTTCATTTTTATCTCTTTCGGTTTTTATTGCAAAAAATATATTTTTTCTCGATTTATTGATTTCATTTAATGCGCTTTTGTTGTTTTTCTTCAGCCATATAAATTTTAATATGAACCGAATCTCCGAAGATGTTCGTAAAAAAGTGAATTTAAATCAGCTTAAGGCACGATTCGATTAGTAGAAGTGTATTGAGGTAACCTATTTATTGTTGAACTAACCCAGATTGACCCTAGTAAGGCGAATGATCGCAGCTGCATACACAGACAAGTCTCCACTATAATACACATCGTAATATGTGCCAGAAATTTTTCTTAATTTGGTAAGTCAGTTTTTTGTCGCCTCTTTTGATTACTTTTCGACGTCGATACAATTCAATGTTTTAAGAATAAAGTTAGAAGTAATCGCGTATAATTTTTTGACGATATGTGCTGGCACTTACTTCGTTAGTGTGTAAGCGAACTATAAAATCTCGAATTAAATCTACGTTTATTTTTTGGTGTTGCGTTGATTTTGGCGGAGGTAATTTTGAGACGATTACATTTGACAACAGAGTTGAGTATAAATATATTATCAGCTTGTATTTTTCAGTTACAGCTGGAGTACAATGTTTTATGTTTTTTTCATCGTCTGAGATGAATTAAAAATTTAACAGCATTGTTGCTTTAATATTGAAGAAGATTTCTTAAGGAGCTGGACTGCAAGAACGCGTTGACTACTAATTTCAATTAAGAATTGCATTAGCAATTTGTCTCACCTAGTTTGAAACCATATCTAATGAGAAATTAAATTGATATCATTCGGTTATCTATTCGACCAATGAGGTTGAAACAATGGATTCGAATAGCCAATCACAGATTAGCACTCCAAGTCCAGGTGAAAATGAGTTGAAGCAGATGTCTTCCCCCGTGGAAAGCAGTTCATCAAATGGAACCATTACAAATGCTTTTTCCATGAACTACTCAAATCTTATCGCTGACCACGCTTCCGAGGGGAGCAATGCCCATACTCCCCCCAACCGGGAAATCATGGGCCACCAGTCTCTGGGAGGGGCCATGCCTCTCTTCTCCCCCGGAATCAACATGAATATGCTCAACATCGACAGTAATTCCGTGGTAAGTTACCTATTTCGGATTCTTAAAGTACAACAACGATAGCCGGTTACTGTGCAAGTAGCGCAGACTGTTGCGACCACAATGATTGAATTTATAAATGTCTTGTTCTTTTTTTCATGTGAAGGGCTTGAATTAGTTTGATGTGACGATAAAACAGATAAAATAATGCGTGACTAAGCCGGAAAAATGGAAAATTTCAGACCTTTTTTTAATCCTTTTTGATTTTTTCTTTGGAAGCCGAATGATGGCGAAGATAACTTGAATATGATTTCACTCTTGATCATTGTGAATTTTCTTTGAGGATTCTAAAATTTGACGGAAAAAGCACTAGTTATTACTTAGTTCCGTCTGCGTCTCTTCACTCAAGTGATATGATCGGTACAAAAAAGACCAGCACAATAATTTTAGCTTTCATTTATTTTTGTCTTCAATTCATCTTTTTCTGCAGTATAGTTGCACGTACCTAGTAACTAAAAGCAATGATAGCACGTGTGCAAGTAACACAGAATGTTCCGACCACGGAATTAGTTTGATGCAATTAAATTTTAAAAAAATATTGGCAAAATATGCAATAAAAAAGGAAGAAGAACTAGTTAACAACATACAAGAATAGTGAGAAAACATATTAGAAATTTCCGGACGAATTAGATTCAAATAAGTTCAGTTTGAAATCTGCGGGGTGAAAATAGAAAAAAAACATCCGACCATTTTGGGTTTGCTGAAAGGATTCTATTATGATACCTTACTTGAACCTCTGAGAGCTTTCTTCAAAGTAATTTAAATTGGTACGACTTTCCATACAATTATGTGAGAAATTGATCTTGTTTTATTATGATACCTGAATATCTTGTAGTTTCTTTTCACTTTGTCCAAGGATAATTTTTTTTATTCCTTCGGGGCATAAAGCATTAAGTGGGTCTAGGGAAAAAATCACAAAAAAGTCTGCTTCGCTATAGACTATTTGGGTCTATTTTTCGAGTCCCAGCCGGACCTTTTTTTCTTCTGTCGGAATAGAATTTTTTGGGAAGATTTGAATTATCGGACTTTTCCTGCCGATTTTTGATCGGCTTTCTTTACGAAGGATTGAGTCTATGTTTTTCAAAGCATCCACAAATTTCAGTTATTGTTGAAACTTTCTTTGTAATTTACATTTAATTAGGATGTTTTTTTTTTAAAATGTTAATCTGTTGGGTTTATGGTATTTTGACTTAATTACCTCATTTTACGTCGTTTGAAATGTAATAGTGTGTTATGCTTTTTTGTATCATACTTATGACAACGTTTCGGTTTCGGCTCAAGTGGTGTTTACTTCGTTAATTTCGGCTTATTTGCCGCCCGGTAATTGATTTTTTTGCTGATTTATTGCTGATGGATGTGGCTCTTGACATAGTTTTGTCTATGAACATTATTTTTTCGCTTTTTTGTCTTCGAAATAATGCCTTCCATCTTTGTACTATTTTGAGATATCCATTTTGGCTGAATGAGCCTAAAATTTGTCTAAAGGCGCCTTTGGCCGAAAAAACACAATTTTTGGTCAAAATTTTCCATAAAGTGCATAAAAACGCCTTTTTTGGCCTGTGCCTGGTTTTTTCAAAATTTTGCCTGCTGCGCAGAAAATTTGGTCAAACTGGGGTCTTCATAGTGATTTAGGAGAATTTGGAACATAGTGATTTTTTTTGAAAGCTGCTGTGTAAAACGAATAATTTATTTGGGGCCCGAACAATCAGATTCGGTTAATTCTTCTAATTGAATATGCGATAAAAACAAATGAATATGTGGTGAAAATAATTGACTTCTTTTCTTTTGCATTTTTTTAAAACTGGCAGTTTTTAGTTATCAAGGTGCCTTCGAAAGAGGGTTGACAAGAATAATTTTATAGATAAGATTGTAATATTATTATCAATCAAGTTATCTAATATCATGATTTTCGTACCTTTTTTCTTTATTGATCCTTGAAAAGCTATTTGACGTTTTTAGGTTGTGTTTACGTCGTGCAGATTAGCCTCTGTGTCAGCATAGCATTTTTTAACGTTACCGCAGCATTTTGACAGAACAAAATTGATTAAAATAGTCTTCATGAGCACCTTTTCCCGGACTTGTCAAAATCTTACATCAGGCACTAAAGTGATCAATACAGCGGGGTTTTGAAATAATGCACTGGATTTTTTCCCTTACACAACTTTGTTCACAGAATGGTCAAAATTAGAAATGGTAAATTAAGGTTCAGTTCATAATGAATTCAAGTTCCTGTGTCTGCGGCATACTTGGTCTGGAGGTAACGAATGCGCCTGGGACGGCAAAGGTCATGGGATCAAATCTGACAGGACCTTTTTTTAAAACGGGAAATAATCAGTTTAAAAAGAACTGTCGGCTTATTGTCTGCTTATGTTTTGTTGGCTTAATTGCCACATTGTAGAATTGTAGAGTTAATTAACATTATAGCTGCTTTAGTGTTCTGATTCACCTCTGCTGTTCCTTTGCAATTTTTTTTAACTTTGTAATACATTTTTGCTTTAAAACTATTCTCCGCAAGTGTTTTCGGCCTATTTTTTTAAAATCTGCGTAGTGAACAAATTTCGAGTCCTTTCAATGGAAACATATTTTTATGTTCACCTCTGGATCGCACAAAATGCTTAAAATCTTAAAAGAAATCGTTGTTCAAAGTTTTTTATGACAGTTTTTTTTCGGCTGTTTTGTTTTCCTTTTTTTTCGGCTTGATAGTTTTCGGCTTATATTATATCGGCTTTTTATATTATATTGTATTGTATAACAATTGGTGCGAAGCTCAGCTTCGCCTCTGTATTGAGAATTTTTTGCTAGCTGAACAATGCAATTTGACATGTGTAGCTCCAATTGAGTTGCATGAGATCTAAAGTCAAATCTATTATATATTTAAATGCAGGCTTCACTATCTCGCCATGTTTAAGCTTTTTCAACGTGTTATTTTTGCATGTTTAACGAAACAATTATTTCACGTTTAAGCGAAATCGTATATTGCCTTTTTTAAGATTTTTTTTTGGTTTTCAAGTTTGATTTCAGTTGATTTTTTTAACCTAACTTGAAATTAGCAACCCAATAATGGGACGATTTCAGGGTGTCCAGGGGTTGCGACTTTGGCCTTCAATTACGAATAATCAAATCCTTTTAGTGTACGAGATACAACAATTTTTGTGATTTTTTTCACAAATTTTCAGAAAACTCAAATTACAAAAATGTTTTTTAACACTTGAAAATCCCAAACATGTATTTGAGTGCTGTCAGAGAGCTCTCAATTATTGCGAATTTTGCTTCAAAATATGACAGCTCAAACCCTTGGTGTTTTTGAGTTATGACGTGTTTTATGATTTGTTTAAAATTTTTTCAGAAAACTAGATTTCAAAAAGTTGAAAAGCATGGAAATCCCCATCCTTGTAGTTGGGTACTGTGAGGGTACTCTCAGGATCTCAGATCTTCCAAATTGCAGATCATGCGTTCGAAAGCGATTGCTCAAATGCTCTTAGTTTGAGAGATGTGATTTTTGTTGTCTTTTTTTCTAAATTGTTCAAAGAACTTAGATATAGAAATTTGGCAAAGTTTGAAGTTCCCATCTCTATAGTGAGGCTCTGCAAGGGTTTTCATAGGAGTTGCAGATTTTTCCTCCAAATATGACCGCACAAACCTTTGTATGTTTCGACATGACGTTTGTTGTCATTTCTTCACAAAATTTTCAGAAAACTTGTATTAATTTTTTTCTTTAAAATTTGAAATTCCTAGCCCTGTAATTGGGGCTGGCAGTGTACTCTAGGTGGTTGCGAATCTTTACTCCAAATACCAAATATGAATGCTCAGATCGTTGTAGTTTTCGAGATATGACGTTTTTTGTGATTTTCAGAAGTCTTTCAGAAAACTTCTTTTTTTTTTTAATTTGATTTTTTCTACCCTTAAGTTGGGCAGTCGGGTTTGCGAATCCTGCTTCTAAATTTGACGCTCAAATCTTGATAGTTTCCGAGATATGACTTTTTAATGGATTTTTCAAAAAGTTTTCAGAAAACATAAGTTAGCTTTTTTTCAAAATTTGAAATATCTAACCCTGTAGTTAGGGGCTGTCAGCGTACTCTCAGGGGTTGCAAGTTTTGCCTCCAGATATGACTGCTCAAGTTTGGGTAGTTTCCGAGATATGTCGTTTTGAATGGTTTTATTAAAAAACATTTTTACAAAACTTAAGTTTGAAGTTTCTCAAAATTTGAAATTTCCAACACTGTTATTAGGTACTGTGAGAGTACTCTCACGAGTTAACAATCTTGCGTCCAAATGCGACATCTCAGCTGCTATTAGTTTCCTAGATTAGACTTTTCTTAATTCGTTTTAAAATTTTTCAACGAACTTAGTTAGAGGATGCTTTATTTCCAATATCAGCTGTTTTTTTTATGAGTTGTTAAAACTTCGAAAGACCGGAGGTGCGTTTTACGCTAGTTGGAGTTAAAATTGCCCTTTTTACCTCATTGAATTCAGAAAAAAAGTTTTTGTTATTCGTGATCGAAAAAATTGGACGACCAGGATAATTCTCATTGGTTAAACGCTGTATACAGTCAAACCAAAACATTTCCTCAAATCTGTACGTTCATATGGCAACAAACATAATCACCGTTGTTTTCGAAAATCGTTTTGACACTTTCGAGTGCAAGTGTTTTAAAATTGGTAACACGAATTTTTCCTGTTAACAATTTTTCTTACAAATCTTACTTGCTTTATCATTGAACATTAACAACTTCCAGGCTCGTGCCGACTTGGTCTAGAAGTAACGTGGTCCCCTTTATACCCTAATGTCTGGGGTTCGAATCATGGCGGACATAATGTTTGTCAGTATATATGGAATTTTTTTTCGGTAAAAACTGAATTATCGTACTTTCGTTTGCCTTCTCAAGTTGTGTCGTCTTAGTTGCCAGATCACGGATTTTTCTTTTGGTGTCAGCCATTTCAATTATAGTTGTAAGTGTTCTTCATTGTAATTCAATGGGGCT